TGCAACATGACTCCAGCCCCGGCTCCACCCCTCCTTCATCTCCCCGCCCGCGCAGCCTCCGTTTCTCTAAGGGGCGGGGCCGTACCCGACGTAGCTCTGACGGCAAGGACTCCCCGGATGTAAACATCCGGGAAAATGGCGGCGCCCATGACTCCCCTGCCGCGATTAAAAATCCTGTAACAACAGACAACCCAGCCTACAGCGACACAGGCGGGGATCCCCCTCCCACAAAAAGCAAGTGGGAAGGTCCACGGAAACAAGCAGAGGAGGCAGGGGACCTAGAATTATTGAAAGTTTTCCCTGTTTTCCGAGATAACAACCGGGAACCCCAGTGGGAACCGGTTCCATACCCCATCCTAAGAGATGCTAAGAAAGCAGTAACGGACTATGGACTGAATTCCCCTTTTGTTTCTGGGATGCTAGACTCACTCTTTGCAGCATACACTCTAACCCCAGATGATATACGAGTAATCACTAAAGGACTGTTAAACCTCATGCAGTATTCACTCTTTGAACAGGAGTGGAAAAAACTCATTAAAAAATATGCAGAGGATTCGCACCAGGCACTCCGTGTCCCTGTTCCAGACTTAATTAACGAACTGTATGGTGAGGGCCCCTATACCTCTAGTAGGATGCAGGCACGAATACCATTTGTAAGGCTAGATAAAACGAAAAGCTTGGCTTTGGAGGCCATCAAAGCTGTTGCAGAAGCCACCACTACTTCTCCCTCTTTTGCACATATCCAACAGGGACCTACTGAACCTTTTTATGACTTTGCTACAAGACTGAGGGAGGCTATAGCTAAGCAAGGGAAACCTTTAGAAGCCCAAGATGCCCTGTTTATCCGATTGGCGATAGAGCAAGCAAACCAACACTGCCAGCCTGTCCTCCGTTCCCTGGTTAACCCCACACCTATGTCCATGATACAAGCCTGTAAGGAAATTACCTCTGTTAAACAGGACACCAAAGTGATCGCAGATGCATTGCTGGAAGTAGAACCAGTGCGAGTGCAAGCCATCAAAGAAGCGATCATGGAAGCAGAAAGAGCTAATGCTGTGTGCTACAAATGCAAGCAGCCAGGACACTTTGCAAAGGACTGCCCTAACCCAGATCCTCCCCTCAAGCCTCCTAGGACTCTGTGTCCCAAATGCAAAAAGGGGTATCACTGGGCACGCTTTTGCCGCTCCATTTTCACCAGGGATGGAGATCCCGTCCGGTCCAAAGGAGGAGGAACCACCAGCCGAACCTATAACCAGCAGCCTCATCATGTCATTCAGGGAAACGGACGATAGAGCGTGTGGGACCACGCGAAGACGCCAAGTGTCCTGAACCTCCATCCACTACTGACTTACC